CTGGCAACCTTTGATAAAACTGTCCTGTTTAATTGCAATACATGCTTAAAAGTATCCGTGTATCAGAAATGTACAGAAAGAGTACTGATCATTTCTGATACACGGATAATTTTATACCGTTTTAGATATCTATCAAGCAATAAGTAGCTGACGTTCAGTCCGACCCAGATCGCAATTGATAACGAGGCTCTAACCAATGTACATGAAACAACTAGTCAAAATCATAGTAACAAAACAAAATGGGGGGGGGGGGGACTACATGGCAGTTCAAAAACATATACAATGACATTAAATTAACATAACAACATATTACAAAAATCAATTATTATACATACCAATTGGCATCTATTTCATAATTTGGTTTGATTTATATTAATATGCAAAATATATAAATTAGAATATTGAATAATTATTTTAATTAATTGTAATGATAGAAGGTGCATTTCTCTTGCTGGACACTTCACAGGCATTGAAAATAAGCAGGATGAAAAAAAAAACGCCTAGAAAGTCATAAACTTTATTACAAATAAATTTCAACGGAAGAACCATCCGCCGATGCATGCTTTCACCAGGAATGACCCACGTTTCGCATTTCCTTTACACTACATTTAATAATATAGCAGTCCTCTACGCCATAGACATTGTTTTGACGATGTGGTCTAAACAAACACGTGATTGTTTTACGCTCAGAGTATCATAGCAAGACGCACGTGTAAATACTACTCAGGTCGTCTCTCCACTGCGAAATCATTCTACCATGAAATGTAACGTGAGGCTCAGAAAGGGATAAATAATGAAAGAACAGAAAGTATTTGTCACTTTTCGGTTGAAACGACTCGATAATAAATACTATTTTTCACATTTTGCTTCACAATACTCGATAGAAATGTGATGTAAGTAACTTATTAGCACCTTTCCTTGGTGTATCGGTGAATATCAGGACAGTTTTGGCCGGGAGCCGCCTCGGCTGGGCCCCTCGACCAAAACTGTCCTGATATTCACCGATACACCTCGGAAAGTGTGCTAATAACTACTACATACACTAATCTCAAGCGAAACATATAACATAGAAGTGTCACTGGTTATAAAACGCCACTCCCTTCAACAGAATATATATTGTGACGGTTGGATAGTCTGGATATTTAACGCGTGCGCGTGACATCACAAGGTCTGTCATTGAGTCAAGTGACGTGGTTTCGAACGCTTGAACGTGACAAGGAGTAGGGTCGAACCTCTACGGGTACTCCGGCAAACGAATTATTGAAAAATAATTGAACCATATGCATAGCATCCTCGGTATCCCCAGTGTTTTCATTCCGTTCTACTCCACTTTACCCTGGGTTTCCACGATTTCAAATTATCTGCTCTGGCCTTGATTGTAGATAAGGTCTACGAACCAATCAAGAAACAGTTTACAAACCAGTCGTTTCGCCTTTCCTTTTTATAAGGGTAATTAACCAAATTAATATCCATTTACTGAATGATTTATGTAAATAATGTATATATTTCCAATTCATTTATATTTAATTGTGTTATTAAAATGTAGTATCTTTCTCTCGTTTGAAATTTATATAACATCTATATGTTTGACTTTTGTTATTATTATTACTTTCGTTCTTTATCTGAAATGTTTCATTCTGTTACGTTTATTATTATTGAAATTATACTTGGCAATTTGATCAGGTCTTCATTAATTTCATATTATATAATTTGTTGTTAGTAAGTACGCATTTAGAATAATTTGAACTTCTCTCATTTAGGCTAACTCCTAAACTTGTCCGATGACAGTTACTCTCCTTTGCCAACTTCCTTTTCAATTAACGATGCATGGGATTGGTCGATAAAAATAGCACAATCATCAAGGGCGAATAATTTGAAAACGTGTCTCCCCCATACCCGGGGGTTAGTGGAGTAGAACGGAATGAAACCACTGGGATACCGAGGATGTATGCATATAAGATTATGCGCATGTGGATATCTAGAGGTACTACGTATTTATCAACGAATATCTCACATATAATATACACAGTGCAAGACTTTGGTCCTTAAGACAGTATTGGGTGTTTGAAAAATTGTTAGTTTACTCTTGCTATAGAATCAAATCTCACGTACTAATAAAAGTGGACGACATGTTTATATGTAAAAAACAGTGATATTTTGGCAAAATCCTAAACATTGTCTAAATATCCATCAAATTCTATCTGTTTATGACATATGGTTGGTAGACCATATTGTTGGTAGACCAAATAAGGTAATGTTCTCCCCCATGGTCTTGGGAAATGGGAGGTTTATTCCATATTTAGGATGGCAGAAATTAGGAGTTATAAAAGATGTTGAGCGAGACTCATCAGAGCTCACCCAGGTATTCGGAGCAGCTATCACTTATTGAGAACGAGGAACCTTCGAAGCCAATCCAGCTTAACAATAAAGTTGTAGAAACCATTTAACCTGTAGTTTTATATATTACGATCACGAAGTAAACACAACAAGGAAGTCCAACAAGAAAGACATTTCTTTATATGTATTCATTATTTAACGACATACACGGTCATCGAGAAAGGTACTCAAATATCTATACATATTTCCACCAGTGATTGCGGTAAAGAGAATAGAAGGGCTATATTATTCTTAAATAACTAGTGACGTATTACGATAGAAATAGATGAATTTAATTGTCGGTAGCATGTTAACACCAACCAGATTTATTATATTTATGATTCCATTGAGTATTAATCGCATCGCTATTTACATGCACAACCATTTCTTGTATAAGATGGCTGATTTAAAAAAAATAATAATAATAATCCTATATACAGGGCGATGTCGATGTTGGCTTAATTATTAAGGGTTTTTTTTCTTTTAGGATACTGTTTTTAAAATTCACAATACTTGAATTTTAAAATAATTAAATTCGACTATTTTGTTTATCTTAACCTTGAAGAATGTGGTTAAAAATGAAAGTGAATCAGTTGTCAGCTGTTATAATAATAATATCTTTATTATTATATTTTAGTTTAGGTAATTATTATAGTATTTATATAGAATTACAAAATCTAGTTTAGGTAAGTAGTAATCTTTAATATGTTATACATGTAGTATTTTTATAGAATTATAAACTACATAAACTAGATACTTTTGAGAATAATAAATGATATATTTTAATTCAGTAGCCATGTACCAGCGCCTCCTAGGTTAGGCAGGTGTCCCCTACTCTCTGTCTCGTGCGATCCTATGATCTAAACTTCACGCGTTAAATTTACATCAGTCATGTAAGAGTAAAATAGACATCATTCGCCAAGTATGCACTCGATTTATTATTAGTATCATCTCATAACGGTGAAAAAATATACTTTTAACACTGTATATAATGTGATACAAGATACATACCAGTAACATAACACTCGTGTATTTTACAGCATTAGATGTTTGTAAAGATACAGACAACATCAACTGTCAATCATGTGGTAATACTGGATATCCTAGAGATGAGTTTTATAGACAGAACTGTATGAAGTCATGTGGTGTTTGTAAAGGTAATACGTTGCATGTAATAAACCACGAAGTTGTAAATCAATAAAGTTGTGTTATTCTGAATATTATACCTTTACTTTTAAAAATCATTTAAAATACAGATGTGACGTCACCCTTTGATGTTGGCGTACCATTATTTCAAATAATCTTACGGGAACTTGCCAATCGTACATTATTTATACTATTGAAATATTGGACTCGTGTGACGTGTTTCGATCTAAAACCACGTGCGGAGTGTCTGTATTTTAAGTCATTTAATGGTCTCAAGCTTAAGACATTGCGTAATATATTGTAAAACCACTCGGGCCTCACTGCCCTCTTGTTGCTACAATATATTACGCAATGTCTCGCTCTCAACCATTAAACAATACTTAAGAATATTATCAGGTAATACTTGTTTATTGTATTGAGTAATTTAAATAGGTAAGTTATCGCATTTGTAATTGGATCTTGAAAATAGCTTTCATCACTAACGTCAGCTATTAAAATAGTTCCTGATCACCATACATGTAATAACATAATTCAAGAATATGTTGTTACCGGTCCGGACATAAACAAAGAGAGAATCTACAGTGTCATACATTCTGAACTTATTGAACTCGTTTGTTTTTCTGTAAACATTATGGTCGACATTTTTAAATAAAAACAACAATTTACATATTGTTTTAAAGTTGTGTGTTACAAGTTTTATTTACATGTACATGTTGTATTTACATATTGTATTTACAACATGTATGTGCATGTTGTGTTTACAGGTACAAACATTGCTATTGGCAAACCAACGGGGCAGAGTTCTAGGTATGATTATAGATCAAATTCAAGTAATGCTGTAGATGGTAATACTGATAATCATTGGGAGAATGGTCACTGTACACATACAAACAATAACAATGGTAGTGACTGGTGGTGTGTTGATCTACAACAGATTTATAATATTGACATCATCAAACTATTTAACAGAGATATCAGTAAGTGTTTCTTCTGCTATAGTCCGGATTTTTGGGATAGATGTATCTGAGCCTGGTTTTTCTCTGAAATTTGGAATAAACTTTTCACGTGATTTTATCTAATATTTACAAAATTCTCAGAAATAATTGAATGGTGGATATTTTGCCCCTCGTGGGTATTATCCGGGTCATCGAACCATATGTTAGTCCCGAAATGACATAGTTTATGTCGAGTGGACGTTTTGCACACCTCCTAAGTAATGACAACTGTATAATTTCTAACCAATTTCTATTTAATGACAAAACTTGTCATTACTAAAAGGCCCGGGTTCATAATTAAGTCAACGATATCGTCTTACTACTGGTATGTGACAACACCTTTTTATATAGATTTAAAAACCATTACGATCACAAATGTAGCACACCAATCCTAAGCTAGTAATCGATCGTATAGTCGTATTTAATTCATTTAGCGGAGATTTAATAGATTTGAGAACTAGAAAAGTTCTGGTGATCAGTGTAATGAATCGTGAGTTATTTTATGTAAATATTGATCAGTATGATGTTATATTATATTTTCTAGTTAAAGGGAGATTACAGGGGTTCGAGATAAAGATAAGTTCTAGTGGTCAATGTAATCAAACAGGATTTACATCAGCTACATCATGTTATAAAGATACAACATCAACAATACAAGATATATATACAATAGATAGATGTAATCAACCTACATCAACTAGTATATCTGCTAGAACAGTATATGTCACTGTTTCAAGTCAACCACTTGCTTTATGTGAAGTTCAGATATTTTCTGGTAAGATGTAATAAAGAAGAACACAAACATTTCTGAAATCATGATGTAGTGCAATCATACACTGAATGCGTCGTTAATGGCCTTCTCTACTGTTAAATACCTGTTACCAGAAAGGTACCAATACAATAACTAATATCTCCGTTTCGGAGAGGGTAGGCTGGGGTGTTATTATTCATAACACCGATTACTTTGAATGTTTGTTTCGTTTGAACTTTTTTGTGGCAGGGGTGGTGTGGGGTCTGATTGTTGGTGAGCACATTATTAGTAAATATAGAAGTTGATAAACATGATACAAAACCAACAACCCTACTGAAGATATTGACATGGATATTATTTTAGAAATTAAAAGCAAATAACATAACCTCTATTATATTCTACCATTTTAAACAGCTACACCCACAGTCAATGTTGCTCTTCGTCAACAATTAGTACAGCAGAGTTCTACAAACTATGGTGGTGTTGCTTCTAGAGCTGTAGATGGTGATACTAATAGTGATTTTGATAATGGTAAATCATGTACTCATACACTGGAAGTACGGTCTGGTTGGTGGTGTGTTGATTTACAACAGTTGTATTATTTCAATCAAATTATAATATATAACAGACAGAACACAAGATGTAAGTATATCTTTAAACTTATAATCAATATTTGCAATTCCAAACATGAAACAAATGATAGCCACGAAAAGCGTGGATATACACCAACACGGCAGATATATGTTTGAAAGGATAGCTTGCATGTTGGCTAAATTTCATAAAGATCTAGGATCCTTCAAGATATGTTATCTCTGTTGTGTTCACAAGCTTTTCATGACAAATGATATACTATATCTATGTAACTGAAAATCTTCGATTCATGAAAATCAACATGGTCATTTCTTTTAAATTCCAATGCTTCAAAAGGGTTAATCTTCAGATAGTCCTATTGTTTAGGACTGTTAAAATATGAAACCTCTATCGCTCTAATATTGTTTTATGATAGGGGTGACTAACTCTGGAACAGGGGAGGGGGGGGACTTCATCCTCTTATGACCCATGTTCGTCACACAGAATTTACGGAAAATCCGCCAAACCCTTTAAGTATATATGTCAACTTATAGTAATATAGATAGATGTAGATGTGGAATATAGAGTGGAGATATATTGCGAGTTCGAATTATCAAAAACGAATGAATTGTGTTTGTTTAAATGAGACGATTTCTATTTATACTATAAATTATTATTTCGGTCAATTAGATAACTACCTTCTTTGCGTACATTATAAAAGTTTATCGCTGTATTCAGTTGGTAAGCTCTGAAAAGCTTTAGTGTCTTTATTAAAGGTAACACGAGTCACTAATTTGTAGCCAAGAGCATGCAACAATTGAACTAGATATGATTTAAATAGGGGGCCATTATGTTCTTGGTTTGGAATAGGCTAGTGAATTCATAACTAATCTAGAAAAAAACAACAAATAAGATTTAGATATTTAGCTTGCAAATTAACAATACAAAATAAATATTCATTCAATATGTATGTCTTTAAAGTTTCAATCCATTCACCTCTGGCACAATGATACGTCTCGAATATAATTTAACTGGATTTACAACACGTAACCACCATTATGTGAGATTTTATTTCCAGAAAATTACTATTCACCTATTTAGAAAACGACTAGATCTATGTTTATAAGTCATTTTAACATACATTATGCAAGAGCTAAATCTGCCTATTGTAGGTCTTTCTTTAGGTCTGAAATGTTATCTAAATTATTAATTAGACATTAATTAACTTATCCAGACCATAATCAACTCTCGATGTCAACGCTAGCTTGCGATGTTTACTGGATTAGGACCCCATTTGCTGCTTCACTTTCATTATTTCTTGATTTAATCATGGAATGGATAATCGACACTATGTTTTTTATTGTACGGACTTTAGTAATGATGATCGAGGCTAGACCGAAAATTCAATCGCTAAAATCTCGGTTCAGGGTGGATCGATTTGACTGAAATTGTCAGCAAATACCCTTTACATTATCTTGTTTTTAACAATCATAATGAGAACTGTCAGCTCTTTGTCTAATCTCTTATATTGTATCTTTAAAGGAACGCAGGGAGGTATATTAAATATATACTATACAATACAATACACAGCGAGATTCATTACTTATACACCACACCGAGAAGGGAAGTAGCAAGAATTCAATCGCTATGAAGATAATGCTATTTTATGCTTGAGTTTCTGATTGGTTTATTTTCAGGGTGGGATAGACTACAAGGATTTGAGATAAAGACAAGTTCTAGTGGTCAGTGTAGTGGACAAGGACTTCAATTAGCAACATCATGTTATAAAGATACAACATCAACAATACAGTCTGTTTATAATGTAACTGGATGTAATCAAGGTTCATCTACATCATTTTCTGGTAGAACTGTCTATGTTAGCAGCATTAACGACACCCTAACATTGTGTGAAGTTGAAATATTTGCTGGTAATTATAGTGTTTACACTACTTTCAGATTAATAAGGCCAGTTTCCACTTCCTTATACAATAATATCAGGAACAATAAACTAACTACGCACGTAACTCATTATTGAAGAATGTAAGAATAAATTGTGATAGCTATGTGAATTCAAAATGACGTAATCTCTCTTTCAATTGACTCGAATTTCCTTGGATTGTAAATGTTGGCTTAGCAAACTGAATTTATCTTTAGCTTTCGACCAGAAAGGTAATAGTGTAGAACTTTTCTATTGAAATCAAAATGACACATCATATCAACATAATTCACTTCGTTGCTTGGCATTTAGTAATTAAAAGAGTAACACACTAAAACACTATTCATGGAATAACAATTACTGGTTTATATCAATATTCAACATTTCGACGATGATACTTTTGTCTTTATCAAGCATGTGTATATGGTCGTTAGAACGTTGAATGTTAATAAACCAGTAGTTGTTATTCCAGTTCAGAATATATTCTGGTCCTATCACCTGTTTTAGAAAGCGTAGGCATATATTGCCCAGTGATGTTAAACTTGGTATGTTAATACTATATTGCTATACATAGAGCTAGAATTAGTAGAATAGTGCAATCGATTGGGACAGTTACCTTGGCTTGGATTTGGTTCGGGGGTGGGCAAATGTTAGATATCCATCATTATTACTGTGTTTGAATCCAGGGTAACGGCTTATCAAGTGACCAATCAAGCCATAAACTGCCTGGTCAATCTCGACTATCAGGATGCAGAGGAGGGGTTTTCACTAACTGGGATAGAAAGCAGTGGTCGTTCATAGAAAGAAATCTTTTTGGCCGAGAGGGACCATGTAGTGGGCATTAGTTCTAGACTTCTTCAACTTAGACTGCAAAGTATAAATTTTATAGTTTTCTGCATTTCCTATATAAACAAGGATTTAGAACCACACGGTAATTGCGTGCCATATTTGGCAGTGGGAAAAACGTCCGGAAAATTGGTTTAACGTTATGATACCAAACATTTTATGACTTGTACACGTATGCCTTAATGAAAAGGGGGCCTCGGTGGCTCCGTGATTAAAACGTTAGCTGGCTAACAAAGAGATCCGCAGTTTGATTCCTGCATTGGCCGAAAACGTTCATCGGAATTTCTGGCATTGTTCCTCCTTTTCAGTGGTGCAGGTCGGAGGGCCTAATAAAGGACAGCGTATAGTCGTAAGGATGGGGCAAAAAGCCTAGGCCCTGTGTAGAAACTGGCGGGCACGTAAAAGAACCTTTCACATTTGGACCAGAACAGTATGAACATAAAGAGCATTTCATTTCATCATCTATATTACAGATCTAGCACAATGTAATACTGGATACTACCGTACATCAAGTTCTACATGTCAACCATGTAATACCTGCCTTAATGACAGATGTGATCCTACAACTGGTGTGTGTACTGGAGATTGTAAAACAGGTTTTTATGGTACCAAATGTCAACAGAGCTGTAATGAAGGTTGTTTAAACAATCAATGTTCTAAATCTGATGGTAGATGTACTGACTGTAAACCTGATACAGTTGGTCAATACTGTAACCTTACTTGTGGAACAGAATGTCAACCAAGAACAGACCAAACCTTGGTCACATGTGATAGAACTGGTAGATGTACTAACTGTATTGTAGGAAGATATGGTGATCGATGTGACATGAACTGTAATACAGGATGTAGTGGTGGATGTGATAGAGATGATGGTAAATGTACATCTTGTATAAAAGGTAAAACTGGAGGCAAGTGTGATATCAACTGTAATACTGATTGTACTGTTTGTGACAGAGATAATACCAACTCTTGTACTGAATGTAAAGATGGAAGATGGGGACCATCATGTAATAAACTATGTAGTATTAACTGTAAATCAGTAGTTGGTACAACTGTTGGTAAATGTTATCAGATGACAGGAAATTGTCTAAATGGGTGTGTACCTGGTAAAATAGGATCTAACTGTACAACAGGTAAAATTAAATTTATTTTTACATAATTATTGTTACAGTATTCCTCCAATAGCTCTTCATATGGGTCCTACTAGTATTTAAGGCCCACAGAAACGTGTAGGAATGGTCCCATGTAAAAAAAATGCTTTGTAATAATACCATTTTGTCACGATAGCATGATGAATGTTTATCTTGTTTTTACAGATTGTGAAGCGGGTCGTTATGGTGAAAACTGTGACAGTAAATGTGGTAACTGTGCTGATGAAACACCATGTGATATCATTACTGGTAGTTGTGGACTGGCTGGTTGTACTGATGGCTTTCAAGGTCCCACTTGTCATGGTAAACTACTTTTATACATCACTTTTTCTGCTATCGAAAATAGGTTTTTAACCATATATATTCTGCTAACTTACAATTCATAGATATATATGTCGAATTGTTAAGATACAGATTTTGTATCCACCAGTATACTATATATATAGGTAAATACAACTCCCAGCTAATATATATATATATATATATATATATATATATATATATATATATATATATATATATATATAAACTAATTTAAAGAACGACACCAAAATACTTATTTGACGGCAGTGTCGAAATAACACTATGATTTTGTCTTTAACAGATAGTGTACTTCTCTGTGCATGTACACCATTAAGTCCTGTGGTATATGTTGTAATTGGTCTGCTATGTGGTATACTAGGCTCAGTAGCGGTTTTTCTGTCATATCATTTCTATAAGAAAAGGTAACATTTATTAATTAAAATTTATTCATTGATGCATACAGGCTAACATCTTAACGTATCGTATAGTTTCATCAACCTCCACCTGACTTGGTTTAAAAATGGCGAACGTGAGCCTTGTGTGTTATATTCTAAAGTTTATTTTGATACGCCAACTTTTTATCGTAGTGGGATACGACTGTCACTCCTGACCGCCACATAGAGTTGTTCCCCTCTGTGGATGGCTCAATGGTCAGCGTGTACGCGCTGTATCATAAAGGTTGTCATTGAGTCAACTGGCGTGGTTTCGGTTCCCCGGTTGTATGTGACAAGGAGTAGGGTCGCCTGTCCAACCTCGTGATGTTTATCCGGGTCCCCCGGTTTCCCCCCACTGCTAAAGACCCTACGCGCAAACGAATTATTGAAATAAAAATTAAAAAACATACGTCAGTCCCGAAATGACCTAGTTTTGTCGAGTGGACGTTAAACCCCATTTCTCTCTCTCTCTCTCTCTCCCTCTGTTACGAAATGCTGTTGGCACATGCTTGTTATGCATTAGGGAAATTTTGATATATTAGAAACTGTTTAGCCCGAAACATCGCTGCTGGTGGACTTATATTCCATTACCTGTCAATCTTTGTTTGAGTGTTAAACTTGATGTTTCTTTATTATACTATGGAATATATTTCAGGCGTCAATCTAAAAAGCCAAAAGAAGACATTGTTCCTGATTATGTTTACAGTAATACAGATTTGAACCCGACTACTTCTACAACAGATGATACATTAACCACTGGATATCAGAATATTCCAACTAATACACGTAACGTAGACTATGTAAACCAGTCGTTTAATACAGAAGACAATACGGGGAATACGTATGATACATTAGATCACACAGTAGATGATACGCCTAATACGTATACATCTATAGATTCTAACAAACTCAAATAGATGTAATAATGTATATTTTATATAATTGTATAAAACATGATTATTACCTTTCTATACGCCCACATTTTCATGTGGACGTATATGCCGTCACCCCTGTTCGTCCACATATTGGCATGTATCGGACCATGACTTCATGGATTATGGCCCCTGATTGTACGAAAAATCACGTTTTTAGCTCGTGGACACTCTAGCGGTCACCATTTGCACGCTTATAACCCAAAGATCTTGGTTCGTTTCGATATTAGCGGATATCGGATCGTAACTTTCTGAATTATGGCCCTTGATTGTACGAAAAATCGCGTTTTTACCTTGTGGTACCTCTAGAGATTACAATTATTATCTGATTTCAAAAACCGTTCGAATATATCACCGTCACACCGTAATACTGGTCGAGTTCGAATTTTGTGACAATCGGGTCAAAACTGTCGAACCAATTGGACGCCCCTCGTACGCAAATAGTGTACAAAATATGGTATATCAGGGTTGTGGACCCTCTAGAGGCCATAATTTTTATCCGATTTTTATGAAATTTTAAATCTATTTTTATATCACAACGATCATGGTTCTTGTCGGTAATCGCGCATATCTGAACGTAAGTTCCAGGGTTATAGCCCCTGATTGTTCGAAAATCGCATTTTAGCTTGTGGACCCGCTAGAAGACACAATTTGTACTCAATTTTAAAAATAGTATAATTATTTCGCCATTACACATTAATGATGTTTCTGGATTATGGCCCCTAATTGTACGAAAAATCGCTTTTGTTTTTAGACTGTTCTCTATCCATCCCTTGCAAAATATGGGCGTATCTTGCCTGGCACCGCTCGTTATATTATCGAGTTATTACTTTAGTATTTCTCGTAACAAGTTCAAGTAAAGAGTTATTGATTTATTTTCCATATTATGTGTCCCTTGTCTGTAGATATTTAATGATTGCCATATTATTATGTTTAAAGTACTGAAAAATACATTATGCTAGAGATAAATCTGCCAATTGCAGGTCTTTCTTTAGACCTGAAATGTTATCTAAATTATTAATTAGACATTAATTAACTTATCCAGACCATAATCAACTCTAGATGTAATTAACAGACTGTGGTATTTACTGGATGAGAACCTGGTCTGCTGCTGATTAAATAAAAAAAATGGATAATCGAGACTATGTTTTTTTACCGTACCCACTTTAGTAATGGTGATCGAGGCAAGGCCGAAAATAAATTCAATCGCGTGGCTAAGTAGGTAGGACGCTGGCTCGCTAGCCTGGAGGTCGTGTGTTCGATCCCTGCATTGGCCGAGAAAGTTCATCCAGATTTTCCGGCGTGGTTCCCCCTTGCCAGTGATGCAGGACGGAGGGCCTGAAAAGGACAGCTGTCCAGTCCTTCGGATGAGCCGAAAAACCGAGGTCCCGTTTTAATTGGAATGCACGTGAAGGATCCCCTGGCAGTTGGAATTCGATATAAGAGTAGGCGATAGTGCCGCTGCCCAAGCAAAATTTCCCTCATAGCACACTGTATGGTGTATGCCCGTCTTCATTAGCCCAGTATAGGAGCAGAACAGTAGGACGATAAACCACATTTCATTTCATTTCAATCGCTAAATTCTCGGTTCAGGGTGGATCAATTTGACTGAAAATTTCCGCAAATTCCCTTTACATTATCTAGTTTTTAACATTTATAGAGAGTACTGCAAGCTTTTTTATATAATCTCCCATAATTTATCTTTAAGGTATTTCTAATTAAATTAAATTAAAATATACCGTTATGTTATTGAATTAAATTAAAAAACACAGTTTTGGAATTATGTTATCTAACTGTATGAATTAGAGGTCCTTAATATGTGTATCTGATCTAATAAATAGTAATTAATGTATATATATATATATGACATCTAATAAATACTGTTTTATGTTTATATGTATATGCCATACAATTAATACTTGACAGATTACTAATTGATGTATATAATGTACATGTCGTGTAATGAATACTAATTGATGGATATATGTATATCGATGCGTTATTGGCGAAGGAACAATCATGCCAAGTTGAATGCTGAAGGAAATGCAATTTTCGGAGCCACGGGTGTATTCGAAATGCGTGGCCCCAAGAATGACCAACAAGAAGTACACAACGAGTAGCTCTCGGGGGAACAGTTCCTGGTCTAACAAAAATAATAGATATTTAACAGGGGATATATTTATGTGCAGACCTATGTCAAATTCATAAATAATTATATAATTTAGCGAATAAAAAGTTTGCATGCTAGACATATTGAATTTGGGGAAACATTTATATGTATCTTATTTTTGTTTTTTACTAAATTGTCATGTTTTATCACTTAAAATTATACTTTATTGTTATGTTTTACCAATTAAATTAATTCTATACTTACAGATGAATACGTTGTTATCACTATGCTATATTATATTTATTAAGAGAAATCAGTATTTGTATATTTATAATAGATGCACACTGTGTTAATAACTGTGCTATATTATGTTTATAACATGATTAAAAAACTCAAAATGTGGTTATTTATAGACGAATTCTACTATAAGCTCTGTCATTGAGGCAAGTGACGCTATAGAAGAATACTTTATTAATTATTCAGCGACGGGCACCATTGTATCACTGATATGTAGATTCAGATGACAATACGGTGGTGAAGCTAGAAAAGTGAATAACAAAAATGGTGTATCAAAAGATCAGAATATAATTATATAATTATAAAATTGTCGATCAACCAATATACGCTTACAAGCAGCTTTGTTTTAAGGAAGTAATGTTGACTATATTCTCAAAACCTACATTCACAACAATGTTTTAAAGTCACAGGTAAATACTCTGTGAACAATCCTAACAAAGTATTTCTAAACCAAATTTTAAAAGATCTATGAGTTGTAAAATATTAACGTTATGTTTTCAGGGTGTCTAAATCTGTCAAATATTGAAGTACGACTCTGAATTGTGACAGAGTTCGCCCTGTCCATTCCATTCCATTCGTGCTAGTGCATAGACCTGGAGGTAGACCCCCACAAAACCCAACCTTTTTCCTTACTGTTTGGTGAAGAGTTCAAGGTCAAGCTCATACCAGCTATGGACGAAAAAAGTATTATATTACTACTACATGGTAGGTTGCATTGGTATATTAGATCCGCAGTATGCATAAGCTGTGAGTGGGAGAGATGTTGATGGACCATGCTGTCGTGCTACTGACTGCAGAGATATAGAACCAAATAAAGTATTAAGTGACACCACAAAGTCAAACGCTAAACCAGACGGAACAACATTTAACTGAAAATATAGAAAGCAAAATCAGAATTCAGAATAATAAGAAAGAAAACGATCAGTTAGATTAACCCAAGGAGCAATTCTTTGGCCCACTTGGGTTGATTTCTAAAGCCCTTGAATTCCAAATCATGAATAATATAAAGATATTGGTTCAGACTCATCATTTTAATTTCAGTGACTACCCTTATTTGTTTCACCACTGGTAGGGTGACCCACCATAAATAAATATCTCCAAATATCTCGACAATTACGCCACAATATTTATATATATGCCAAGCCTCAAATCAGTTTCACACAATTATAGTCACTAAATAAACGATCATGTTTTACTTTTGAGTAAAAGATAGGTTACGTGCCCTTGTTTTGAAATTAGTCTCGCTTAACCAGTCTATCGACCATTCTACGTCTGATTGACAGGTCGGGATAATCAAGACTACTTTTTTACGAAACATAACAGAAAGCTAGAACAAGAAATTGAATTTAGAAATAAGCACTTTAGACAACTCAACAATTGTTTTAAGAAACTTGTAAAAGTAAAATGAAACTACTGCTAGTATCATGTTCCTGCTAAAGAAAGTGATTCAGAGATAGTATTTGTACTAAACCAAAAGATGCCGCTCTTAACGGTACAGTTAATGATAAAGCAATTTAAAAAATAAAACAAACGTAATTACTAAAGCTGCTGTAATAACCAAGAAGCTAAATTTTACTGCTATTCAAAAACGTCAACAATAGATTTTTTACGGCTGTAATAGTTGATATATTTGTAGAGAATTGCACGTGCCATGGCTATTTATCGACTCAAAGCGAGTGCGGGGTAGTCAGAAATCAGTTCGAGACACGCAACTGAAGCGTGCACATTTAGCCGTGTCGAGACCAACTTTCTGTAAAGTGCACGGGCCACCCTACCACTGGTGGGTATGCCCTCACCAGGTACTTAACTGAAGCAGTTAAGAGACAGGATGTTCGCGACTACTTTTTTGTTTTTTTATAGTAACTGATTCTATCATATTTCATTATTTGTGAGCAGAAATTTGCCCATGTATCTGTTATCACTGGTCACTTCAGTCAGTTATATAGAGGGATAACTTGTGTTTTCCTTTTCCGTTCGTCACTTCCGATTGTTCAAGCATTGATTACGCATCTATCGTAACAATGATCTCTGTGATAAAATAACATTTGGATCATGTTTAACCAGTTCTATCCCATATATGATAATATTGTCCTTTAAGCACACCAAGTCCATATTATGAAACTTTTTTTTTTAAATATATTCCATTTTTTTCAAGAGACTACTTTCAGACTTGTTGTATGGAGTACCATCACAAACATCATTTGAATTAAATATTTCGGATCTACATGGAAAATAGTATAAACTGCATCAAAATTTCCTCGAAATTTCTTTTTTTATCAGCTATTTTTTATAATGAATACACATTGTTAACATCTTTATGGCTTCTTAAATCACCTTTGGAAACTTGGCCTGGAAGCATAAAGATACGCTGTCTTTTAATCATTGGACGTATTTACTAAGTTTTACAGTAAAATATTTTGTAATAAATTATATTCCATATTTATTCACACTCAACACAGTGTTTAATCTATGTTTAATTGTATACTAATAATCCACTGTTGAATGTGGCAATGTCCAGCTGAATGATTGAATTGACAAATAAAATGTGTTACCAATTGAGCTCCATAGAAAAACAGATTTGCGACAGAAAAATTATGAACAAATTCCATAGTAAACCCTCAAACTGCTTATTATTCTAACATAAATGGATAATTATCTATCTTAAATTTAGAAACAAGCTTTTTTACTAACGTTTACCAACACTTGACAACGGCAGCCATGATAGATTTGATTTTGACAGTTCTGTTTTCTAATTATAGAACGCCCATATGAATAATGTTAATATTACAAGATTACACAGTTCTTGCAAATGAAGGTCAATAGTCTATAATATTACGATTTAACACCTGGTTTATCGATAATTGTGATAGTATAAGTCAAAAAGTATTAACTGCATCTTTATTTACCTTTCTGTGTCTATTTACCATTCTACCGGAAGTGTTGCTCACATAAAGGAGTTCATGAATGACTTATTTTTTTAATATTATCAAATTCCGTAAATGACACCACATTTGTATTTTGATATGAATTAATCTTTTAATTAAAAATTTGTATTTAAAATTACACTTTGCTCATTGATATTAAGGGGGGAGGCGAATGGTAAGCGCTTGCCGGTAGTATTATAAGGTCTGTCATTGAGTCAACTGGCGTGGTTTCGATTCCCCGTTGTACGTGATGAGTAGGGTCTCCTGTCGAACCTCGTGGGTTTTCTCCGCTTCCTATGGTTTCCTTCCACTGCTAAAGACCCTTATGCGCAAGCCAATTATTGAAATAAAATTAAACCATGCTAGTTCCGAAATGACCTTGTTTGTGTCGAGTGGACGTTAAACCCCATACTCTCTCTCTCGCTCTCTCTCTTTCTCCTTCATATTGGCATAGAGTCAAGGATGTTAGACATTCGAAGACGAACGGTACCTTATCGACGACAATGATCACGTTTTAAAACAATGAAGCATTTTATTACAGAACGTAATACGGCATAATTGTGTGTATTGTGGTGTAAATGAAACCTTTACATATCAATATATTTTTCCGATAAACGTTGTCAGTTTAACGATTATTCGCATCGCTCGTCCAAAAAATGGTGGACGCCAACCACGTGGTACCAAGGACGCAGGAATCTCATACTACGTAGAAACAGGAAAGCAACTCAAAACTCTAAGACTCGACTACTGTACATAAGAGTAATACATAAGAATATTAATAGAGAGATAATAGCTCTCGCGACTAGTTTGCAGCAAGATAGTGTCACTTTACCTCCCCCTAAAGTATATATCTGCACACTATATTAAAAACACACATTCCTTGTGTTTTCTGAAGTGTGCAACTGAATACATGATATGCAGTTTATGAAGGTTTAGTTGCAAACACAACAGCTAAATATACTATTTTCACATATGATACATTTTGAAAAACATGCAGCAATGTGTAGTGTTTGATATTTAAGTCGGGGTTGCATCCTGTACAGACGTATTTAAATTCAACAAATACAGGGTTTAGTTTATTCTAGAAAAGCTGTAAACCTGTACAGAAGTGTTTTATTTCTATAAATATTATTATGGAATATTGAAATAAATAACTACAAACATTGGTAAGTTGTATAATTATAATTTATATCACTGAACATTGACAAAGATAACTATGACATTTGTGTTCGATTATTGTGTAACTACAATAGGCTTTGTAGGCTGAGACCTAGGATCACAAGATCTATGACGCCGCTGGCCAAGGTATATACTATTTATGCAACAGAGGTTTTTATTTTTCTATTATGATGTTCACCGGTAGCAAAAGAAAAGAGTACCAATCTAAGATCAAAATGAACAGCATGTATTTATATCTATCAATTCATCATTAATGCTTGGACGGGATAAAGAACAATACATTTTGTTGGCAAAATCTGATATAATGTTGTTTCAAATCCCATTCCGTTTCAAATTTACATAAATTCTGCAATAAATGTCAAACTGGGAACAGTTTGGGACCCTGCCCTGTAAAGGGTTAATTACTGAATGTACGTATTATCTATTTCCGTGACATTTTAATTCTGTCCTATCTAACACAACTTGTTTACGGGTTTGAAACCAATATTAGACTCGTGCCATAATATTTCTATGTATTTCCTGTTATTACCGCAGTAATATGTGCCTGTTTATACAGAAATAACCATTATTATCAAATGACACCCAACCACATATGTATTTTTTCAATTCTTTTATCTATTCAGAATAATATAAGTACAGATTGTTATCCCCTAAAATGATTAAATTATCTGTTATTAATAAATGCAGCCCCGCACCAAGAAACCCCATCGTTTAGTTAAGAACAATTATTATTAATGGAAATCACACAACCGTTGTACAGTAACAGATGTATAGATGTATCTGATATTTCTGGATTTATCTTCGTAAGCGGATATATGTGAAACACCCTTCATGCAAGGTTTTCATGTTATTAAAAGTCACGCCATGTATAAATAA